TATCATTAAAATATCATTACATTAATAATAGTTATATATTATACATAGTGCTATGTATAATTGTATATGTATGTACTGCATATTATTTCATAGTTAATGATATATTTCAATAGTTAATGACACATAAGTACTAATGATATAAGTACTCCAATACTTCATGATATATAGAATTGATAATAGTGTAAATTTCGTTTTCTCCTTCCAATTGGTAGGAAAAGTCAGGTCTCATAGGTAGAGTTAGCTTAGGGAGCTGAAGCCCTTTCAAAAACTAGCACAGGAAATAGCCTCTGTATTGCAGCAAGCAGCAGAGCTGACAGTGCGAGAAGCACTGTTCCTCCTCGTGCAGGCAGTTGCCAAGCCCATCCGAGTTCCTCTAAGGGCCCTCAAAATTAAACTCCTAACAACAAGCCTGATATTCAGTGACTCAACCCATGACTCTCCTGAGGGTGGAGATAGGACTGCTAACCCCTGAAATAGGACTGCAGCCCAAGATTCCATGCTGCTCCGGTGCTCGACCCCATACTTTCCGGAGTGGCTTTTGTACAACGTCCTCTTGCAATACCTGTAATAAAGTTTTGCTTTTGCTTGCCATCAGTCTTCTGTCTCCTCTGCCCCTTTCTTCTTCAGAGAGAGAGATGAGCTCAGCGAAGGTCAGACTGGGAACACCCCCCCCCAAGACCCCAGAATCACCAGATGTACAAATTGCTGTCATGCTGTAGCAGTAAGGAGAATATTAAAAGAGTTACCATGCAATATATTTTACCAATTTGTTTTGCTACTTAAACAGTGAATTTTTTCTTTAGACAGTGACAAAAATCCCACAGTTTGTAACAGCAAATTAAACCATTCAAAAACATTCTATTAAGTACAGTTTAATTATGTTGAATGAAAAGAGAGGCTTCTGATTTGAAATAAAAATCATTCTGTAATATTCATGCTCATTTACATTGGAAGTTGAAACAAACTCATTGCCACATTACAGAAATACCTAACTGTTTATGGGCTAAATACTGCAAGTGATTTATTTTGGGGCCAATTGTTTAGAACTCAAGAGGATCAATTCCTAAAAGATATGTTAAGTGACTTATTTTTTAAATCACCATTTATTTGTGTTTTTAATGCCTTTCAATGTTTTTATGACTGTTTTCAGATAATTTAACCACTACAGATAGTTTAATGTTTATAATGCAGAATCTAACAATTATTGATATTATTAGAAACAGTCTCTTTTTTGTTAACTAAAACTCCCCATGTTTCTTCAATTGACATTTTGTCATGAGGGTACAATTAGTCCAGTAAGAAACAGGGTCACTTGAGTGACCTAGTAGATATGATCTCATAAAATGTTGAAATATAGAACATTGCTTTTAAAATTTCAATTAAGAATCTGACAAAGGATTATGAATTATCTTCAGCTGCATGGAATTTCATCCAAGGAATTTCTTGTCTTTTTAGCTTAGTGACAGATTTCATTATAACTAAACTGCTTTTAGTTTGCTCATGTAATTAGTAGTCTTTTAGCTAAGGAAAAAAGTCTCAAAAAATGTAAACAGAAATACCATAAAATCTAGAAATACTACTGCTGGGTATATAGTCAAAGGAAATAAACACAATGAAAAGAACCATATACCCATTTTTATTGTGTCATTGTTCACTATAGCCAGGGTCTGGAATTAACCTAAATGTTCATCATCAGATAAATAGATTTCTTAAATGTGATTTATAAACAGAAAAAAGCACTATTCAGTCTTTACAAGTACAAAGTCTTATTTTGCTACAACATTGATGGATCTGAAGAACATCATGTTACCTGAAAGAAATCAAGCATAGAAAAACAACCTCACCATTTATTTTCATAAAAGGAATAAAATAACTAATCTGATATACGTTAATGGAAGAGTGTAGTTATATGAAACTGAGCAGAGCTAGAGATAAGTCAATAGATTGATACAATTTTGTTTGACAGAAATAAGAAATATAAATTCCACGTTATTATAGCACAGCAGGATAAGCATAATTAACAACGATGCATTATGTCTCAAAATAGTTAGAAAAGTCTGAACGTACACACCACAAAGAAATGATAACTTTTTTTGAAAAAAATGATAACTTTCTGTGTTTCATTTAATAATTACTCTGAGTTGATTCCATTCCAATAAGTACATTAGCCAAAACATTCATTGTGCCTCATAAACAATTTGGTTTGAAAACAGAAGCGTATGGCAAAACTTTGTTTTTGTTTGCAAACTCTGCAACCAGTGATGGGAGCGACTCCGACATCTTTCCCACATGAACAGGAGCTTGGTTATCACTTCCAGAATCATAGAATGAATGAAGTTGGTGAACTGAGATACCACTGTGCAATACTGTGACAATAAAATATCAACAATAGATCAATATTAAACAATCATAGAAATTACAATACCACACACGTATAAAATCTATGCGCTTAGTGTGACCTCTTGGACAGTCACATGAACTGTAGGAAGACACTTTCATTTTCACATCCCAAGAAGATAAGTATACTGCCATTAGGGAAAAGACAAAGCAAATTAGTCTCATCCTTAGAGAAATAATTGTTGCTCTGTGACCTCACAGAAAATATGTGTAGAAATAAGTTTTGGGCTATTTCACTGAGCTTATTTTGCTCCTCTTGTCTGACGGTATAACTTCCTTTCCTCACACCATATCTGATTACCTTCCTTTATCTGCCTCCCTCAATTTTGCATTGCCAATTTCTGGTCTCTTCTCAGCTTGCTGGGTTTAGGCACACACCAGCTATGGGGGTCCAGAGCCTCACTTCCATTATTGCGCATGCTTATTATCCCTCAAATCTACTCAGATTTCTGAAGCTTTGTGGAAACCTCCATTAATATAATTTTTCCTCTTATTTATGTGCACTAAAATCTGCTATATCAAAACAGAAGCCATATACCACCCTTGACACTCTGTTACCTTTGTTCAAGAACCAGAAAAGATATGGCTATAACAAGAAAAATCTGACCCACACTTTTGGCTACAAATCAGGAAGGCTCAGAGGATTGATATGCTTTTTTCCATTAAGACGATAATTTTTACCTAAATTTCAACTCTTCCTGAAATAGAAAATGTTGGACTCTTTGTTAGATTACCATAACCATTTTGTTAAACTAGCAAGTCTAGAAACAGTGAAATTTTTAGTGTTAATTTCTCATACTTATTTAATTCCATTACCAACTTTACATCTTCCAGATAGCTCAGGAGTTTATTTCGTTTCCCCCTTAAGAAGCTACTTTTTCCTTACTTTATCAAATGAAGTTCTAGATCTCAACTTAGTACAGTTAATTTTTCCATTTGAGGAGCATTACACTAAGCAGAGATGAATGTCGGTTCTCTACATTTTTAAAATATTTTTAATTGCAGTAAATAAATAAAATTATGTCTTGTCAAGAGTTGCCTATATAATGAATAGTTAGTAGTCATACTTTAAAGAAAAAAAAAATCAAAGCCCGGGGATGCAGTTAGCAATAGATTTCTGGCTTAGCAGGTTTAAAGCCGTGTACTCAATCTCCAGAACTGCAAATAAATAGATAAATAAAGTTAAAAATGTATAGTATAAGAGTCAATGTAGTTATTATAATTAAATTTAGTTTAAATATGTTTGAAGTACTATATTACTATGGTGATCACTTAGCTGACTTTTTTTTTATAAGTTATCAGCCTTGGAATACAGATTCCACCCTTTTGTATAATCACATTTAATGAATAGCTTGTTCCATTCACCAGTTGTACACATCTAGGGGAGTAACCATACTGTTGGGTTTTGCTTAATGATCCACAAAATTGATAAAATAGAACTACTGAATTCGAAAGGTTGATTCAAAGACAAAATATAAGTCAACATATGCAAAGACCTCAGAGCAGCGCTCACTCCCCAGCTTATACCAAAAATACCATCTTGCTTGTCATCATCATCATCATTATCAGTAATAGCAACAGCAATGTCCATATGTTTCCAATCATTTCATTTTTCTCACTCTAAGTACATAGCATCTTTCTGAGTCTAAAGCATACTCATTAGTTTTGCTTTGTGAACTTAATTGATGCAGTGTACATAGACCTCAAGACACTGATGAGACATAGCTTTATTTTTCCTTTAGTCTTTTCAAAGAATGGAATCACCAAGTAGATACTTTCAGTTATAGCAGTTTTTGCCCAGGAGATAGCAAAACCGATATCATGTATCTGCACAACAGGTCTAATAAACTAATGCTATCAGCATCAGACACCTTTGACAGATGCTTACTGTACTCAGTGAAGACACTTTCCAATACAGTGAGCAATGGGACTTATTTTCACCAACTGTGTACAACTGGACTAATTCTGTCTCCTTGAATGTTGCATTTTTAAATGATCAGGCTGTCATAAATCCTTGTTTTCTTGTGCTTAAAATCTCCTGATTTTTCCCTCAGTAATCACTCAAGTGAAATTCTTCTTTTATTTTCTGAAAGCTTTGAATTTTAAAAGTTTCAGAAGTTGCATGATTTACTTATTTATGTAGTGGTGCTGGAATGGCACCCAGGGCTTTGTGCATGCAAGGTAAGAGTTTTACCACTGAGCCACATCCCCAGCCCACTGGAAGCTGAATTTTAGGAAGTAAATGCTAGAAATTCTTTTCAGACCATTTCCCTTTATCTTTTTTAAAAATTTATTTTAAAAATAAAAGAAGGAAAACATATTAACAAACAGACATTCATTTACAAAACAGCATAAGAACAATACAAACAATACAAGGTTACAGACAAAGTGGTAGGAAATTAACAATGGTTGTTGTATTACGTAATGATATCTTCAAAGTGATTTCTCAGGAGAACAATTAGACATAAGCAAGATTGATCAAATAAGTAATCATTAACTGTTCCTTACAGTAAAGCAATAGAAGTCAGTAGTACAACTATGTTAGCTATCCTGTATATACATACGTACATAATTTCCCCTTCTTTCCCTGCTCTTTTCCCACACCCCCGTTGCTCTTTATATTTGAGCATTTTTCTTTCATTTCACAATGTCTATCATACCTCCTAATTTTTATTCAGTCTTTCAGGTTCTTTCACTAGTGAGACAATTCATTGCTTACACATGGAGGTCTGGCTTATTTCACTTATGCAATTTGTAATTGCTAAATTGTGGATGTAACCCAAATGTCCATCCCCTGAAGAATGGATAAAAAATTGTGATATTTTTACATAATGGAATACTACTCAGCTATAAAGAAAGATATACTCAAGGCTTTTACAGGTAAATGGTCATAACTAGAGACCATCCTTTATCCTTTTTGATAGCATAAAGAAATTGCTCTCCTTTGGAGGTGAAGTTTATGGCAGTATGGAAACAAAGAATGACGAAGACACCTAGCAACTTTAAATGTGCTGAAATAGGTCACCCTAGGCCCAGAGAATATTCTTTTTTAAAATCTTTTTTTTTTTAATTTTAAAGAAAAGAGTGCAAAAAAAAGAACAATAGCAAAATACATACAACACAAAGCAAAGACATTAAAAATGATACAGAGTTTCAACTCAAATGATAAAGATTAACAGTGGTTTTTATATTACACACTGTTATTCTTAATGGTTCTCTACCTTTGTTTGACAACATCCAGTGTTAAATGCTATAACTAAAGACATGTAAACCAAGATCAGAATTTTGTGAAAAAAATAAACGTTTGATCTGCTTTTTTAAACCTTTACCTATTGTAAGATTATTACAACTGAGCACAATTTTTTAGTATTTGAATATCATGTACACAGTGTAATACATGAAAATCAATGAATAAATTCAATTTTTAAAGCATTTAAAGCTCATCGCAAACTTATTCAATTATACCTTTCAAAAGTTCACCTCTTCATACGTCATAATTGTAAGATAACTTTAAATACCTAAATCCTTATAAAGTTACATAATCATGGCAGTCATTACAATTACCCCCTCTAAACTCAATAGTAGCAGCAATATTTTTAAATATGTGCTCATATAATGTCATATACATATTCTTACCATGATTTTATTTTTCTTATATAATTGAGCTTCCATTTTTACCCCTACAATTTTATAAACTTCTGAACTCATCTTTTTTTTTTGAAGTTATGTTCTTATTCCTAATGCTTTTCTATTCTATTCTATTCTCTTCTTGGAATTAAAATTCTTTTTCCTTTGAGATGATTTATAGATTTGTTAGCTGTGTATCTGTGACTATAACAGGCGCTTTCAAAAACTTAAAATGAAGAAAGGATTATTTTGGCTCACAGCCGCAGAGGTTCCAGTCCTTGACAAGTTGGGTCTTTGACGAGGCATCATGGTAGCAGCACGTGGTAGAGTAACGTGCTCACTTAACTGCTGCCGTGAAGCAGGCTGAGAAAAGGGTTGTGATCTGGGTACTAGCACACCTCCGAAGGACGTTTCAATGACTTGACTTGCTTCCACTAGACTCCAGCTTCTAAAAGTTCCCTACAATGCACCACGGCCTGGGGAGCAAACTGTCCACACACGGGCCTTGGGGGAACCTAGATCTATCTAACCACGATTCAAACAACAACGCAAGCAATCTATCCAGGTTTAAGAAAACTCGCAAGCTTGTGCTTTTAGAACAAATCAGTAATGATTTATTTTATCTAAATCTTATGAGCCACTTGGAGGATTTATCTCTATAATTTAAATGGTTAATCTTACCTTTTCTTTGTTATATTACAGGGTCAGTCCTGATTTGTGGTCAGGATTCCAATTTCCATAAATATTTTTGCTTCCATTAGACTACTCAAAACCCTGTATAGCAAACAAGGAAGTGTTTAACATATTTTATTAATGAAAAATATTATTTAGTCCCCACCTGTGTTATAAGTAGACATATATGTATGCCTACCTATATATAGTTGCTAACATATTCAATTAGCCTGAAGCCATTTTATTTTGCAGCTAATAAATGCAGTATAGTTTTGTAGATGAATTCATGATGGATAAGTTGCAAACTGATTTTCCTTTACCTCATTTCAAAGATTATATAATTATAAAATGAATACTAAGAAGAATTCCTTGTATTTTCCTGGCAAAACAATCAAAGATAACATCATTAGGTCTCTTACAGTGATCTTAGGTGCACCTCTTACAAATGACATCAAATCATGCAAGTGTCAATCATGTATATTTCCTTTTCCTTTTCCAATCACTAATTAACTATATTTCTTCTACTTCCTTGTGCACAGAAATTCAACAAGAAGGATTATATACTTTTTCTCTTTTGAAGTATGCTGTCAGGTAGATTAATTCAGATATTCAGCCAATACCCAGGAAGCTAAGGATTTAAGAAATTATGTTTTGGCCCGAAAATTACTCTAACTTCAAGTATTGTACTTCATTTTCTGAGTATTTCTAAATAAAAACTTTATAGAAATAATTAAAGAAATGCACAACATTTACCCAAGCTGTACAAAAATATAAAGAATTTCATAGGCTTGAAGTGAAAAACACATTTTTGAAAATGCTATAAGTGTAATTTCAGCTATATGTCTCCTATTTGTCAATGGATTTTTTAAAACTAATTTTGAAAAATAATAATTTGTTAAAAATCATAAGCCCTTAAGAACCCCAACAGAGTGGTTCACTCTATGTCCTCCACTTATCAGATACTAAATTTAACATTTCATTTTACATTAAGGGATATTTATAGGGAATTGAACACCTGAATATAAGTGAAAGCAACTGTGCAACAACTGAGAGCATGGCAAGGTATCATGCAAGAAACATAAAATGCAGAGAGAAAGCCCGAGCCTAACAGTTAATTTTAAAAATAAAAAAAGACATGATAGAAAGATAGGTTAGCTTTAAAGATACTTCCAGAATCATAAATATATGGTATAAAAGAAATAAAATTAAAAATCTATGTGTAGGGGCTGGGGATTTAGCTCAGCAGCAAAAGCGCCTGCCTGGCAAGCGCAAGGTCGTGAGTTCGGTTCCCGGTACCGGAGAAAAACAAACAAACAAACAAACAAAAAAAAACAAAAACAATCTATGTGTAACAAAGCAGAAGTGGCATAAATAAATTAAAATTCCTACATATTATTATTTTCTGCTTTATATTTCTGAATCACTACTAGATATGTCAGGGTAATTTAGTTCACCAAATTGTCTAAACGAAAATTGTTTCCAAAATATTAGTCTAGAAAATAATGAAAATGTGCACTTACCACTGTCAGTTTCTGAGTTCTATTTTATAAGAAACACTTGCAGAATATATGAATTATATACAGTAGCATAAAGTGACATTTCTTACAGCTTACTGGAATTCTAAACTTTTAGTATTGGTGTCATGACTTTTCTCTCTAATGCAGTGAGCTTTGTTAATTATAATCATTGTTAATTAAGAATGTTAGGATATATGGCATTTCCCCAGGTTACTCTGCTTATATGATTAAAAATTGGCTTCTCCATAAGGAAATATTTCAGCTTGATTTACATTTCTATTGTGGCAACTTTAATATGCTCAACACTGCTACCTGATGGCAATGCTTAATGTGAACAAAATAGTCTCTGTTTCCTCCATACAGAAGGGAATTTATCAGAGGCTTTGTTTTGTGAAGATCATCCTATTTCTCAGTTACTCACCATTGGCAGGACTTCAAGTTTTGTGAGCTTAAAGAGCATACAAATAGTGTATATGTATAGATTTACAAATAAGGATGAATACAAAATCAGTACAATTTTACTTGATGACATTATTTCACATTTTCCAAGTTACCCTATGCTTTCAGTTTTGGTAGAAAGAAGGATAAACTTGAATCATTTGCAGGAATATGGGCACACCTGCAGATCATACTGTTAAGTGAAGTAAATCAGACACACAAGCTTAAGTATCACATGGTTTCTTTTATATAAAAACAAAATAGGTAAATACATTACAAAGTAAAAGACAAACAGGAAAAGATAGACCAAAAAAAAATTGTAATCCAGCATGTGCAATGTATCTAAAAAGGTACCTTGATTCAATACAATATTCTTATTTTTTTTCTGTGCTTTTTGTCCTATGAGTGTGGTTATTAATGTGTACATACGATAATTCATTTTATAAGGACTCGTAAGATAAATGAATCTAATGTCGGGAAAATAAAAGGTGTTGGGACGAAGGGGAAAAATGAAATGTGTAATGTTCATGTACCAATTCCCTGCAGTGAATGTTATCATTATGTACTACAAGTATCTTCAATATGGTACTAATAAAATTTTTAAAATTTTAAAAAAGTATTAATGTATTCAATTTTATTTTAAAGAGAAAAAAGAAACAAGACGATAGGAAATTAACATTAGTTATTATATTGCATATTGTTACCTGCAAAGTAGTTGCTCAGATTACCAGATATAGGCATGCTAAATTGATCAAACAATACAATCGTTAACTGTTCCTTTATGTGAATTAATGCAAATTAGTAGTACAATTCGCTATCTTGTGTTTATATATATATATATATATTTTTTTCCTTACTTCTTGTCTCCTGTCCCCACCCCAGTTCTTTCCTTTTGAGCAGTTTAACTACTGTGTAGGGGTGTGTGTGTGTGTGTGTGTGTGTGTGTGTTACTGAGGATTGAATTCTGTGATTTCTCACTGAGCTATACCCTTAACCCCAACAACTTTTTCTTGAGACAAGGCCTTACCAAATTGCTAAATTTTCCATTCTAGGCTCAAACTGATATTCTTTCTGCCTCAACTTTCCAAAACCTGGGATTACAGGTATGTTCCACCATGCCTAGCTTTAAATTAACTTTATAACTTTTCATCTCACTATAAGCACAAAACAGGAGACACAGTACATTGTTTTACAGACACACCACAGATATATATGATAATGCCTAGAACATGGTAGATGCTTTATAATAGAATTGGTTGAATTGCATTTCTTAATCACTATACATTCTTACTGGTTAACATTGATTTACATACAATAGGTGATTGACTTAATATATTAGATATATACTCATAATGATATATTGTCTATGTATGGAAAGATTATATATAATATAAATATGTATGTTGGATACACAATACATAATATGTACATGTAAATTAGAGAAAAACATTCATTTTCTAGGCTAGTTATGCCATTAGATATTTTGAATTTAAAATAATTTTAAAAGAATCCTTGTCAAGGCTCAGAGCTTCTGCTCTTCTGCATTTGTTTTTTGTTAAGACCATTAATGTAGACAGTAAAGATGTGATCAACCTCACAATACATCCTGACAATTACACAATAGTCAGTCTTCATCTTAGGAATGTACACATAATTCTGTTTTTTCTCTTTCACTTTCTATTTATTTATTCATTTAACATAAAATAACTCAGTCAAAGAATAAACATATTCTATTGTAAAACACAATGTTTAATGCCATATATTCGGGAAAATTTACTTTACAAATTTATGTCCCTACAAAAGTAGAATTAGAGGGACTTCTCCCCAAATTCATATCAAATCCTAATTTATCAGTATGCATCAATCTACTAATTTCATCAATCTACTAATAGGGAAAAAGTAGTAACCCAATTCTTTAATTTACCTTTTTCTGATTACAGAGTTATCTCATTTTCATATATATACTGTTCAGTTGTTTTCTATTTCTGTAAAATATACATACAGCCACACCCATAGTGTTCCTATTTTGTAATGTGTTAGTATTAATTTGTAAAAATAAATGCTTAGATTATATGTATCATTTCACATGTCGAATAAATTTTGGATAATTCACCATAGACTACATACTTTGTTTTCTGTGTAAATCTTCATGTATGCTTACTAACTAACTCACAAAGGTCATATTTGTCATTTTCCTAAATATTCTCTTGTACTTTATCATGTTTATGCAGACTGCTCACACAATCAATAATACTTTTTCCTAGATGCTATTATTTTTGTCTGTAGGTGACTGAAACAGATTCTAGTTATCTACACTGGATAATAGATTATAGGGAGGACGTCACACAGCTGATAAGGTGGCTGAGGGAAAAAAAAGCTCAGCATAAGAGCAGCCCCATAGGGATAATGCCTGGGAAGGGAAGTGAAATCTCCTGCACCATACACTGTGGAAGGGAAACTTCTGCCACCGTGGACATTTGCTACACACAAGCTTCATATACTAGGTGATAAGCTTGTGCTTCTCTGTGATGAATACATATGTCCTCATTTCTGAGTCTTGAACCTTCAAAGTTTCAAATTTGCAGCGAAGACGTCTGCATTAATTTTCTATCCTGCCATAACACACAGCAAAAATCAACATATAAAACAACAGACATTTACTTATTCACATTTCCGGAGGTCAGAAGTCCAAAAGCAGTGTTAGCAGAGCTCCGCTTCTCAACGCATTCAGCGGCAAATTCATTTTAGCTCGTGCAGCTGCTGGCAGCTCCGGCTGTTTCTTGGAAATACCCTTGACTATTTAAAGTTAATTGCAATTTATTTAACATTTAAAAAGCACTAAACGTTCAGTTCACCCATGTCACCAGTTGTATTTCAAATGCTGAAAATCATGTGAATTGTGGGTCCCATATTTGCTGTGCAAGAGTAGACCATGCTAGTTAACATACAACATTCATCTGGAGACTCTTACACTGATATATCCCAAAAAATGATAGGGTTTTACTCGCTGGGGATCAAACAACAGAAATCCTACATCTGCCTATGACTTGTACAGTAAATCCACCATTTATTTCTTTTCCTGTCCTGGAGAGCTGTCTTCTCCATATTTGGACATTGTTTCATTGCTTGTTGTGCCTTAGCCAGCAT